ATACTAAATTAAAACCAGAAAACCAAAATCTAGCTTCAAATTATCATGTTCTATGAGTTTTGGGTCGTCATTACAGTCTCATCCTTAGTGGGTAACCCTGTATCTAAAAGTAGACATTTTACAAAGACGACATTTTATACATAAATATACTTTCTGGTGGATTTCATCAGTTTTCCCTTTACCTATAGTAGACCAGATTAGACGACTGTTAATGATCGGAGTCCATTAATATTTTGGAACAAGTTTACGAAATACATTTAGTATAGGTAACTTAAACTAGTAGAAACTGGAATCAATTGTTCAATTATGAGTTTCCAGTTATTTCCTGTTATTAAGTAGTTTTCAACCATATAGGCGTAAGTAAATGTTGAAGGGGAGAGGGGGGTTAATGCTCAAGAGGCGAAAGTNATTTTTAATTTGTAATAATTTGGGTCATTTTCTGTAGGACTGCTGAGGATATGAAATATATCGAAATTAATTTCCAAACCCGAGTTTTTCTACCTGTGAGAGTGAAACCTTTTTTTGCCAGTTTGGACAATTTACATTTAGTTATTTTATTTAAGTTAAAAGTTAAAATTTCATAGATGTAATTATTGCAAAATTTCGCAAAATTACTTTGTAGAAATTACGCAAAATTACGGCGTAATTTCACGAAATTGAAGTTTCGCTAGTTATGCTTAATTAATACAAAATTTTGCAAAATTACCTCGCAGAAATTACGCGAAATTACGCCAAAATTACGCGTAATTATAGCTTCGCTTATTACGCGTAATCATTACGAAATTTCGCGAAATTACTTGGAAGAACTTACGCAAAATTACGCCATAATTTCCCGTAATGGATATTTCCCCAATTATGCGTAATCATGCGAAATTACACAAAATGAAAATTATTACGCGTAAACTGCACGTAATTACGCGTAAGAGAATGTCTATTAGGTTTGAAACCCTAAGAATTTTTAGTTTGAAATTATATACATATATAACATGCCTAAGAATTTTCTTTTCATCAATAATATTATTTTTTTTCATATATTATCAGATAAGATTAATAAAGGGTTATACATCGCAAAAAATCGTAAAAATGAGAAGTATAAATGGTTTATACTTTAAGAATCAAAAAAAGGAGATGTTTTGGATGACTTGGATTCCCCTAAGTTTACCCTATAGTGGGAACAAAAAGACTAGGGAAGGGGGGGTATGAAAAGCTTAGAGGGCCCCTAATTCTAGGTCCCTACATATTCTAAATATCTTGAAATAGCCCCTAATTTCAAATCCTAAATATCCTGAATTAGCCCCTAAGTTCAGGTCCCTAAATATCTTGAATTAGCCCCTTATTCAAGGTCTCTAAATATCATGAATTAGCCCTGAATTCCAGGTCCCTAAATATCTAGAATTAGTCCCTAAGTTCAGGTGCCTAAATATCTTGAATTAGCCCCTTATTCAAGGTCTCTAAATATCATGAATTAGCCCTGAATTCCAGGTCCCTTAATATATTGAATTAGCCCTGAATTCCAGGTCCCTAAATAACCTGAATTAACCCCTAAGTCCAGGATCCTAAATATCCTGAATTAGCCCCTTATTCAAGGTCCCTAAATATATTGAATTAGCCCTGAATTCCAGGTCCCTAAATATCCTGAATTAGCCCCTAATTCCAGGTCCCTTATTATCCTGAAGTAGTCCCCTAATTCCAGGATCCTAAATATCCTGAATTAGCCCTTGATTGGTCCCTAAACATCCTGAAGTAGTCCCCTTATTGTAATCTGAAGTAGAATTATGATTAAAATTGACTAAATATAAATCAAGATTTAAATATTCTCAAAACAAACNTTGTTGAGCTTTTTTGCTGAATTGGGAAAATTAATGACTTTAGTGGAAAATAAATAAATTTTGGGTAAATAGAATTTAAAAACGATGAGAAAGAAATTTCTTTTCATATCCATATTTTCTTTTCCAGATCTTAAAAATATTTGTGCGATATACACACTCCTAAAGCCATGTGAAATCAAATGGTAGCATTGATAATTAATTGTTTTCAATTTCAACCCAGATCAAATACATACAATATATAAAATATGTAAATGTCTGCATATGTATATATAACTAGCTGCATAAAGGGCCCGGCGTTGCCCGTGAAAAAAGATTTAAATTTTTTTTTAAATAAAACTTTTTAAAAAGAATTCGAATTTTTTAAAGTCTTTAACACCACCCGGCCACCCATGAGTGTCCACAAAAAAAATTAAGCCCAATCGGTCCAGCCGGTTTGGCCGGCTATACGCAAAACATATTTTTATTGTTTTATTATATAGATATATACCTAACGCTACTTTTAAATAGGGCCTGATGTTCATTAATTAATTAAAACAGTAAAAAAAGAGCAAAAAGAAATCTTTCAGACAAACTAAAACTACAGTAGAAGACATTTATATGCAACATTTAATGAATTGTTGCAAAGCAAAATAGTTTAACTATAAAAAGTAACAAAGTGACGTAATCAAAGTTTTTCATTCGGTTTAGTCAGGGACTGGGAGAAATTCCTCTCTATATATTCTATTCTCTATGGTTGGAGTTCAGTGTCTGCCCATAACTTTATACAGAGAAACCCAGAGAAGTCTAAATAAAAAGTTTAGATGATTTGATGAACCTTAAAAAGTTATTTTTTAACCATGGCATCAAATTTGTCATATTAATCTCATACCTCGTTAATATAATGTTAAAGCTGTTTATTTTTCTTTGAAATATAGATATGAAAACAATAATATAAAATATTAATTGATCAATTACAGGGCAGAGTCTACTTTTGAGCATCGGACGACAAAAATTAGAAAAACGACCCTTTTTAATTTTAAAAATTATATAATGTAGCTCAAATTAAAAAAAAACAGTTGTAACAATAAAAAGAAGAGACACCTTAATATCCAGAACTCCGAACTTATGTGAATCCGAGGATCAGGCAGGGGTAATGTTAATTGAGGGATCAAGCATTGATCCTCAAATTTAAAAGTGCCCACATCGAATATCGAGATCAGTTGCGTTCAAGAGTAATAATACCCACACTAAAGTTCCGATCTCAGGAAAGTTTCGACTGATGTTAAGAGGGGGGGGGGAGTACCTGTAGACCCCCCCTGTCCCCCACTCTAAACACATTGAATTTAAAACTGTAATATCGTCTTTTGAAAAGGAATCTGTTGAATGATGATAGTGATTAGCGGTTTAATTGTTTAGATTTTATTCCTAAACCGGTTTAAGAACAAGTTTGTGCCAGTACGTCATAAAACAAAATGCTTATCAAAAGTACTAATGGTAGATTTTAAAATGAATTATTATTATAATGGTTTTATTATTCTCTAAGAATATTTGTGACATTCCAGTAAAACTATAGAATTTGTTTGATTAATGTCTAAATTATCTTAATTTTAATAATGGTTTTATTCAAAAGGAAATGAATGCTTGCCACAAACTCCAATTTTCTAATCCCTATATCTTTGCAACCTGATGGTGCAATTCTTTAATAATTGAAACTTAGATTATTTGATCTAACATAATTCCCAATTTAAAATATCAAAGGGCTATGACATTGGTTTGCATAGATATAGGGATTAGAGAATCAGAGTTTGTGGCAAAAATTCAATTCCTTTTACATTTTTTTGATACAAACTACTTTCCTTTGTTACTGCTCATAAAGAAATGTGTCAATTGTTGCTATAAAATATTTTAACAGAAATACTGTTTTCAGAAGCACTATAATAAATATTAATTACTTTAAAAGTATATATACCCTAATGATAATATTTGGATGTACATAATAAACGTTTTTTTGGAAAAAATTGTATAAATTGGTGTTATGTATGTTTGTTATGTATGTTATGTATGTTTGTTTTCTTAAAAAGCAAAACTCAAATTAAAATTAAAATTATTTATTCCTAGTTAAATAATTAATTTAAATGATTTTGTGTCCAAGTTTGATTTTCTGCCCATGTGAATCAAAGTAAGCTTTCTAAATCCAAGCTTTCACCTACCACTGTATATATTCGTTCATATGGTGACTTCCCTCCCCTCCCCCCCCTCTTGGGCCGTTCA